TTAGCTTTTAAAATAACAGAAAGGGATCATCTTGGCTTGGGCATCCTCAAGCAGAAACCAGGTCATAAAGTTCTACCTTCTGATGTCCCTGTTGAAAGTGGAATGCCGCTTTTCAGACTAAAAGCAAGCCTGAAGGCTTCAGAGGTGGCTTTGGCTTTCAGCCCAAATAATACCTTTATTTTTTTAAGACCTAGACAGTCTTGTAGAGATGAAGTATGACTTGCTTACAATTAATGCTGGGAAAATAGTAATCAAGAATTAAAATAGAATAACTTATATTTAACATCGTGGCTTTAAGGCAGTTGTGTACAGCTAGCAAGATGCAAATAATAAAAAAGAAACCCTCAAATGTGCGAAACATACTTTCTTAAGCAATTCTGAAAACGCTGGTAACTGTCTCAATCTGGAGTTGTTGTGGCAGCCTGTGTGTTAGCCCAGGTATGTTGTGTTCACTGGTTAATACAAAGCATTCCCTCCCAAACCTCGATGCATACCCAGCCCTGTGAGGAGACGTTTTTGATTGTGGTTCCGATGTATGGTTTGGTAATTCGTTCTGCGTTGGTTAACATTTGCACGTGGGTTCCCCTGAGCCTTCTCCTCTGTCCTCCTGCCCTCAGCCCACTCACTCCACCTCCACGCCGGCAACTCTTGGGTGAGACAGGGAACCAGCACAGCAAGTGCTGCTGCGTGTAATAGTAGCCCGACATCTTTGCTTTGTGTTGTTTTCTTTGCCAGGGAGAAAATGGGAGTCCCACACAAGGGAAGACTTTGTTTTCCTCTTTCTGTTGTCTGTGATCCCCACCTGTTGCATATATGGTAAAAATATCTGGGACTTAAAACCCAGCAACAGTGCGCAGCCAGAGTCGTGTGTGACCGGGTCAAACACACACTCACTGGAGGGTCATGGCCAGGTTACTAAGTCAAGGCTGGCAAGTCTCCACGATAATGTTTTCTTTCTCTCTCACTCTTCTTTTTTTTTTTTTCCTTCTCCCCTTGTCTGTCTTCCAAACAACAGTTTAAAAAAAAAAAAAAAACCCAACCTCGTAACAATGCAAACTATTTAAGCATGACAAATCCAAAGAAGTTTTTTATTAAAACAAAATTGGAAAAGGGGGGAGGGGGAGGCGAGTCAATGATATTTTGGATTTAATTTTATAGTATAGTTTTACGTGGCACATGAAAGAGAGAAATTTGTATTGAAACAATTGAGACCCACTTTCCCAGTTCCTGGCTCTTTCCTGGAAGATGATTAAAAGCAGACTTTTTTTCCAGACGAGACATAAAAATTAAATGATCTACAGTATATAGTTATTTTTTCAAATGTTTGGAGGCTTATAAATAACTTCTACAATCAAATGCACACATACAAGCAGCAGAGAATCTGGTTCTAATTACTTGTACTTTAGTTGAACTTTGGCGTTTCCTTTGACTTTCTGCCTAATGTATGTGAGCTGTGTGCCTTGCACTCCTGCAGTGAATTCACAAAAAGAAAGAGTCAAAAAATCCACCCTTGTTGGTGCCAACAAAAATGAGGGTTAAAAGAATGTTTTGACCAAATGCAACACTTTGCTATTCACCCTAATTAGCTGAAATTGCTGCTTCCCACCAGGGACCCTGAGCTCAGTATTCAAAATTCCCTTGAGGCTATCCAGGAAATGCCATTTGCTTTACAACTTCTTATTCCTTTAAGACTCAACTGTCCAAAGTATGCATTAACATACAAGCTTAATAATCTGAGTTTTTAGCAAAACGAAAGGCATTTCATAGTGCCTGCCTGCTTCTCGTTGGTCACAAAGTAAAATACCTCCTCCATCTGTCAACATGGTTTAGCTGACAGTAAATTAGCTCTCACAAAGCACACAGTGCTTTTAAAGATCTTATCTGCTGCTTTATCTAACCTTTAGAAATATTTCAGACATCTGAGGAATTGTGAAGTGAGGGATTGTTTGAGAGTCCCTGTGTGCTTAAGCGGCATTCAGGTGTTGGGTGATGGCACTGAGGCTGTTTTCTCAGGTGAGTAGGGACCCTGAAGTGTCACATCTCGCAGGACAAGGCAGCAGGGCATGGGAAGAAGTAGTTTGGGGTTTTTTTGTTTTGGGTGTGGTTGGTGTTTTTTTGTTTGGGTGTTTTGGGGTTTTTTTTGGGTGTGTGTGGTTTTTTTTTTTTAATTCTTTCTGGAACTCTAAGACTGCTTTCACAATGCCTCTTCTGGAAATGTTAACTGTCCACCCCCCATCCTTTCATTTTTTCCACATTGCATGTGCAGGCAGACACACATAGAAGACAGCAGGTTCTGCTGTCGTGCATCCACTAGCCGCTGATGTGATCCAGAAATAACACTTTATACCTGCTGAGCGTGGATTGCTACAGATGCCTGCACCTTGTTTCTGCCCTTCCGCACTGCGTGGGTTTTCAAATGAAGAGTTAAAAAGGCTAAATCCAAGGAAGAGTAGTGAGTTGGAAGCTGGAGTAAGAGTAGAGCATGTGTAACCTGAGTTCAAGCCTTCTCCAGAAAGCTGTACGTCTTCCCTGTGATCAAAAGTGGATGTTCCCAAACTGGGGTTTTTTATGAAAAAACAAACTCTAGACAGTTGTTCAGCTGATGCAAGTATTATACAGCATAGATTGAGCTCTTTTAGTGACATATATATGTGGGTGTTTTGGGGAGGCTTTTCTGGTTTACGTGAGCTCTTTCCATCTCGTAAACCTTTTCAAATTGTCCAGGAAAAAAAAAAAATCTAACAGCACCTTCAGCTCTTCAGTTGCTGACTATGCTTTCTCTGTTTATGAAGTGAGCTGGTTGCTTAATGTCTTCTGGGTATGGCAAGTTCCTGGTGCTTGGCCAGGGCCTGACAGACCTCACTTCTACATGTGGTTTGTGGTTTGAACACTTCTGTTTGGTGCTGGTGCTTGGTTGGGGTGAAATCATCAAAAAAGCAGAAGTGTGTCAGTATTATTCTCAAAGACCGCTTTCCCCAAACCGAAATCACAGAAGGGTTGCACTCCTGCAGTTGTTTTATTGAATGACACTACCTGTTTTCCCATGGGGAGCCTAAAAACTGCCTTTTAGATGGACTGGGAGAGTTGAATGAGCTAATATGAAACACATTGTCTGCTGGTATTACGAGGTTTAAAGCGAAAATTTTATCATTCCATAGACTGTTTGGAAGCCACCATAATTCATGTACGAGCATGAAATAAGGCACAGAATGTTTGAGGCCTCTCAAGGGCATTTGATGAATCTAACTTTAATTTAAAAGTACTAATAGATTATTGATTCAAGCAGGATGGCTGCGCAGAGATCAATAATGGAGCACTCTCTATCTCTCTTAAATACCAAAAATTACTGTTGAAAAGAAATTATCATTCTCATCTCTGTTTGCATTACGAAAAACTTTGTTAAAGTTGGCTTGGTGCAGTAGGAACCTGTAGATTTTTGGTTTGCCAAGGTGCAGCGTATTTAATGCTGAAAAAGATAAGTACAGTTCTGGACATTGTCTTAACGTCACAATTTATGTAGCCACATATTATTTTACTTTTCTGTTTTTCCACAGCCTTGTTATTGTTAGATATATAAATAAATTGTTCCCCTTGGAAAGATATTTCTTTGCTTAGAATCAGAGCCTTTAACACTTCACTCCAGCATTTTTCTTCTTCTCAGGAAATGTCCATCCTTGAAGTTGATAGTAGCTTAACCCAAGTAAAAATGGCAGAAAGGGGCCTTTCTCTCACAAGTAATCCGAAGTTGCATCGTGTTTCGTGATGCCCTCTGTGAATTCTGTAGAACACGAGTTGACAATGAGTCATGAGTTTAATACAAATGTATCATCTTTGTAATCTAAAAAATATCCTGTACTGTAAATCTTGTCTAAGATTTTTCCATTGAGTAATATTCTTTAGGGCCTGCTGTTAGTACTCTTGAGATTTAGCTCTGGTGATAGTGCCTAATATTTCTGGATAGATCTGAGTTCACAGATCCTGTCATTTCTGCGTATCTGTTGAAAAGTTAGAGGGATTTATCTGAGAAGCAGCAGAATGGCTAGGTGAAACATGAAAATGTATTGCACATCCACAATAAATGTGAGGAATGATGACAACATATCACAGAAAACTAATGCAGATGCTTTGGAAGGATGTAGTTCGCATGTCTTACCTCGCATCGTAGAGCTTTCATGTCCTTTCCCTGAAAGGGATAACTGGCATTTCAGCAGGTTCAAAACAAATGACCATCTAGAAATATTAAGGCAATAAAGGGATGTGGGGTCATAATATGTAAGTAGCTTTTACTCAGAGAGGTTTCCCGATGTAACAAATCCTAAGGTAGGTAAGGAAGTGTTACTGGGTTGTGCTAGTTTTGTAGATTAAAAAAAAAAAAGAACCAAAACAAAAAACCCCAAACAAACAAAAAACCCCTGTTCAGGTAATTTTCAGGTCTTATACTCAGTAGTCTGTCTCTTTACATAAGTTCTGGTGCACGTCCGTATCGTTTTGTGGCAGAATTGCACATTGGAAGTGTTACCTTTTGTAGACAAAAGCAAGAGATAACAAGAGCTCTCCCAAAATCGGGTGGTGATTGGAAGGGTACATGCCACAAACAATTTCCCAAACAATTTCCCTTTGAAAGAGGATATCCAGCACATGCACATTGATCCCACATCATTCAATAGGTTAAAACCAGAGCGTGAGCCCAAGATTGGCCATTTTTGGAGCCTGGTAGGAGACTCGAGCCATATATCTGAAGTGAGCTGAAGCTCTTGTGGTGTTGAGCAGCTGGATGGTAAAAAATGATTGGGTACTTAAAAATATACTTTTGAGGCTATAGCATGTGGTCCTGTCACAACTGGCCTTGCTTTAGTTCCCCTTAAATGTTGGTAGGAGGGACAAGTGAGCATTCATTAGATGAAGATAGATATGGGCCAGTTTGGTAGTTATAATACAGTAAATAATCAGTAATTTAAAATTCATTCATGAATCATTCAATTATATTTCTCTTTTCTCTTGTAGCAGTTGAAACTCAGAGCACCAGTTCTGAGGAACTTGTTCCCAGCCCTCCTTCACCACTTCCACCCCCTCGTGTTTACAAGCCCTGTTTTGTCTGTCAAGACAAGTCATCCGGATATCACTATGGAGTCAGTGCTTGTGAGGGATGTAAGGTGAGTGCCATCATCTCCCTTTCCTTTCATAGGGCTGTATTTCATTTTAGGGAGGGACAAAGCAATGCAGTTTGGTGTGACCTGATTGTCTCCAAAGACACCTGTACCTTTCTTGTGTGAATTAATTGTGATTCGTGAGTAAAACCAAGTGACCATCATGCCTGGAATTATTTCCCCTCATAATTTCTGCCGAAGTATGTCTCTCAGGGACTTCTCTAAGTATTGACTTAAGTGAGGATGTGATCGTAGATGCAGACGTAATCAAGAAGGAAGTGAAAACGCTTTGAGGCTGTGTTCATCTGTAGCTCAGGTATACCCTGAAAACTCACGTGGTCGTCTGCTCTCAGCCTGGCTTTTTCTGTCTGCTGTTACCTCTGTGTATCCAAGGGGTGGAATTTGGGAAAAGGATCTGATCATCTGGAATTTTTGGCATAGTCTCTAACTATCTGACTAACATCAAATCAAATTGGGAATTCGAGGAATAGCAGGCTGGTATTTGCAAAATGTAATCTGGCAGACTGCAGCGCTGGCACATCTGCTGTCTGCTTTCCAGTGCTGTGATTGCCAGAGCATGACTTGACTATCCATAGGATGTGGTAGTATGATTCGCCGCTCTGAAGTAGAGAGTGTCTGAAGCCTAGATGCACACCAGAGAAGCAAAGCGGCTAAACCATGTGTGTATGGCAGTAATTAGAGGTGTACGTACAGTGAATAGTGTGGGTGGAAGGAAGAAGGTAGTATGAAAAATGCCAAAGAAAAGTTAGCATAGAACAGATGGCCTCATAGTTAACTTTATTCATTATCATACCCTAATGCAGTGTTCTTTTTTAATGATTAAACAAAATACCTATGATTTAAATCCCTGAGATTGAAACAGTGGTGCGCTTAGTGCCGTGAAGATCCTAAATCATGATGAAAATGTGACAGGCACTACATCCATATAAATAAGTTACTAGAATAAGTTACTAAAGGTTATTTTGCTGGTTTATTTGTGTGAAATACATTTTTCAGATACTGTGCAGTTAGCCATTTTCGCTTTATCCTTTGAACCTACAATTTCCTCCATGCTACTGGCCTTTTGTAGTGACATAAAATACCATAGTCCTGGGTTTGTGTCATTAGGCAAAAAACTGTAGGGCTGGAGTCTGGTTCCCCTCTATTTTATAACTGTAAGGACCAAAGCAGTAAAAGTAACTATTTAAGCTCACCTCAGTTCTAGAATCTCTTTTCTGGTGTTGGGGTTTTCCTTGGATATCATGTCTGCTATTTCTTCTTTTAGGTGCCACAAAACTATTGAAATTCAAGTGTCTGTTAGGAAGAACTATGCAAAAAATGTGCTGTAGCTGATTTCATTAAATAGGAAATCTCATCATACTCAGATGCTAACACACAAATGGTGGTGTCATTTGGTCTCCCCCACGTTCCCTCTAAACACAGATGTAACTGCAGACGGTGGCAGAAAGGTCACATGTCCCTTAGACTTCATTATTTTTTAAAAATATGCAAAAACATACTGTCGGGCTTTTATTGGCATACTGCAAAGCATTTTCATAAATTATTAAAGCAAGACCACACTTGTCAAAATACACTAAGAAATCCATTTTGTAACGTGTTAGCCATTATTCAACAACAAAAATCATGTTCACTTATTTGTTAAGTTGCAGGATAGGGTAATTCAGCACTTGGTAATTCAGCTGCTGTTAAAACCACAAAAAATCAGTTACATACAAAACCTGTCAGTCTATGAGAAATAACAAGATTCCAAAGCAGTGACCTGGCTGCTTGAGACTGGTAATATTAGGGATAGTTGACGCTAGCTCTTCAACAGGTTGGACTAGGATTCTATGAATTTCTTCCACTGATTGAATCAACTTCCTTAGTGAGTGCCGGGAACTGGCAAAGAACATGAGACCACTTGGGTCAACTAGTGCTCCCTTTGGTGGAGAGTCATTTACTACTTTGGCTGTTGAAAGTTGTCTGAGCTTTCAGGTCAGCAGAAGTGGTGTGCTGGATGACAGGAAGCAGCAGTACGTGACCACACCACCAAAGACAGCTCTGGAAACCTCTACGTTGCCAGTTTCTACTCTTTCTCTGAAGATTGTTATCATTTTCTCTTGATCCCTCTTGCGTTGTTTGGTTTATTTTTCTATTCCTTCATCTTTGCTCTACACTACCTATCACACAGTCATTCCTTGGTCCTGTACCATAAGAAAGCTGCCACCTTGTATTTATTTCTAGCCGCCCAGGCTCCTGCCTGTACTCAACTCTACCCCTTGGTTCCCAGTATCAGTTCTTCAGGCTTCTCCTTCTGTCCAGCCTTCTTCATACCAAAGTTTAGCCAGTCGCTTTGCAAGTTTCCATAAGCACTGAGCATTGTGCACTGCTGCTGGGGAAGCCTTGTCTCCTGTGGATCTCTGCCTTTCAGTTGGTCAACCCAGGTGTATTAGGGAGCCTGTGTTTCACTGGAGGCTTCTGCTTGGTACAAAGCTGGAGTTTCATGCTGATTCTGGGGTGAATCAGGGAGCAATAATGAGGAAAAATTCATGTCACAGCCTTTCATCTGGTTAGGAAACACACGTTTATTTCTCTTTTACCTGAATACGCATCTCCATGCAATTTCAAAGAACTTTATTTTCTTTGATATCTGGAGTTTCACTGAAGCTGACCAGCATGTTCAAAAGCTGTTGGGATGGGGAGAGACTACGTTGCTGGACAGCCGGGTTGCACAAAGCTCATTCTGTAAGAAGCTACACTAAAATATTAGCCAAATCAAGTATTAATTCTATTTTTTTCCTCTTTTCCTCTGAACTTGTCTGTATTCTACTCCTGTTTCCACTGTTTGTTTCTTCACCTGATTTGTAGTTTCTGTCCTGTGATGTTAAACCTTAGATTCACTCCTTTTTCCTCCTGCATTGCACCTCCTTCTGCTCTGAGGTTCTTTTCTCAAGTTTTTTCCTTTTTTTTCTTTTTGACTGATTTACCTTTCCCTTCAAACTCCTGGCAGCCTTGTTTCTCAAGGGATGCGCAAATGGAAAACTCGGCTCATACCATATTTATCTAATTAGGGCCCCGTTCTTTTTTTTTTTTTTTTTTCTGTGCTGGCTTTCCCTTGGCTTTCTTCTGATTCTGTTTCCTTCTCCTTTTCCTTTCTGCTTTGAGCTCCAGTGCAGCTGCCGTCACAGCAATCATTAGCAGTCTCCGTCTAGTGCGAAGGGACAGCTTTCCGTCCTCGAGATTTTGGGCTGATGACTGCCTTAGATTCAGCACGCTTTCTTTTTCCTAGCTTTCAGGGCTCTTTAGATTCTCCTCCTACTTTGCTTAATGTTTATTCAGTGTCTCCTTAAACAGCTCTTTGTCCGCTTCCTGATGTTTTGCCCTGAGGTTCAGTTCTGTGGCTTTTTGTCTCCAAAGCATCACCTACTGACCTGTTTTATGGTAGGCCAGTGGGGGAGGTCATGCGATACTCTGCTTATAAAGGGTGTATTCTTAATGGAGACCCTTCCAGCCAGGAGCCCTTGGAGAGCTCTGGATGGCGATTATGACCTTTCGATGCACGGTCTGGGGACCTCTGCACTGGAAATTTTATCTTCCCTCAATTGTCACCAACCCATGGATGATTTCCAAAGTTATCCCCATCTCTGACTTCTCCCCTCCTGTCTTGCCCTGGTCTGCCCTTCTGCTTGTCTACCTGTGACCTTGGACTTGGAGTTCGTGAAGGCAGAACTTTCCATCCTCTCTCTCTGACATCACCATCTGAAATCTCATGGTGTGCAGATTTTCAGGCATCATGCCATGACAACATCATAGCTGACCTGCAGCACCATAGTTCACACAATGTGGTGTTCCTCTAAAATCTGCCCTCTGCTGCCTTCATTGGCAAACCAAGCTTGCGGTCTTCTCGCGTGGTGATTAGAGTGGTGCCTTCTCCTGCCCTTCCTTCCCCTTTTTTGCCTCACTGCCATCCTTAGACCTTATTCTTTTGGGACCCTGGGAACAACCTCCTAACCTCCTTTGCCAAAAAACGCTCTTTTCGGTATTTTAAGGCCCACTTTTTAAAGTGATCTTTCTGTCTCATTACCAGAGTCTTCAATACTGTGCTCCACTAGAAGGACTGTTCTGTGGCCTGTTTTGATAAACTAGTCTTTCAAGGTTTTCAGGGGCTGGAGAATGTCATAATATGCACTTATGAACCACAATGAAGCTTAGGAGCTGTCTAAATAATGTTAAGCTATCTTGTTTTCTCATTTTAGTATACTCATACTGAAAACCTTATTTGTGATTATAGATCCAGGGTACCTGACTTCTTGCTTTTCCAGTTTAAACTTTGGGATCTTTCAGAAGGTTGAAATCCCAAGGTTTTTTTCAATTTGGTCAGTCAAATTCAGCAATCAGGATTATTTTTTTTTTAAGTGGCTTTAGAAACCTGATCTTGGTTTTGTGTTTATTATGTTATGATGATGAGCATCGTAGCCTGTCGATGGCTTTATACATATATTAAAATCTCAAACCCAAGCTGATCATCATACTGCACTTGTCAGAAAAATTCCAGAGTCAGTCCATCATTTTATGTGTAAAATACCATACATTGACAATATTCAACTTATTTACAACTTTCCCATTTTGTAAGCTGTGTGGCATTTGAGGCGGGTTTTGGAATCTACTGCTGTGTTTCGTGACCTCAGTTAAAGACTTCTGAAATCCTTTTCTGTTTCCTTTTTTTTTTTTTTTTTCCCCTTTTCCCTTGGTCCGTGGGTGTTGCTAGATAGCACGCAAACAAATTCCATACCAAGTGAGCAACTTGGATTTATCCAGCTGGTGCAAGTGGTTAAAGGGCTGGCTGTCACCGAAAGCTCAGCTCTTTGGTCCTGACTTGACTCGTCATTGTAGCCGGGTTTTTAGCGTCGTGGGCTGGACTCCTTACACAATGCCATCATTGTGTGGGCGAGGCGGAGAAGCTGGTGTTCTTGCAGCTTCAGCTGTCTCTGAAAGCTTTGTCCCTT